CATGGCTGAGTGTCATCACTCGCAGCAGAGTCTCACAACAGGATTTGACAGCTCCCAGAGGAAATGTCCCCATCAACTCCTTTAGGAGACCCAGCACATGAAGTGTAGTAGTGTCCTCTTTGCTTGCCATGGGTGAGGGGGGGGACAGACATGATAAACTTACGAACGGACTGTGAGAATGACATTGAATCTGATGATCATTATCTCCAGTCAAAGCAATCGTACCTCCTGCCTGCTCCATTTCTTTGATGCAGAACTTGGCTGTGGTCACTGCAGCAGGGTGGTGAGTTGGTGCATTCTCTCTAAACAGGAAGTCACTTCCTCGGAGAACGGCGCAAACACCTTGCTGTGCTGCTTTACGTACCTGAGAGGAAAAAGTGGACATAAAAATTAAACAGTACCAACATTGTAGCATCTCATTTAAAAAGGTCCAGTGTGTTACCGATTTTTTGGTGGCAATCTATGTGATAATTTAAATTAAACAGCTGGATAAGGATAGCAGAATAACATTTAATGATCCGAGTATGCTGCTACCATTATAAACTAATGAAAACATACTTATATAATATTGTATTTCTGCCAATAGAGCCTCCTAAATGTTACACACTGGACTTTTAATGTTGAATTCAACATGTAATATCCTGAGGCGGTCACTATTAGGCTGGTGATACAGACCTTAGGCTTGCTGTGCACTGTGAAGCTGAGAAGGCCATGGTAAGCCTGAAGAGTTGTTGGGTAAGTCCAGACTGATGCATCCTGCTTCCTCAACAAAGTGGCCAGGCAGGACAGGATCTATAGACGCAAAGATGGCTAAATAAATATCTTCTGCAGTCTTCAACAACAAATAATAAAAAATCAAAATCAAAAATCAAATCTACTCACCCATCGGAGAGCTGAGGCGGTCTCTGACGTGGCCTGTTTCGACATGATGTCCATCAGAGCCTTGGTGGTGTCCGAGAACTTAGACATGAGCACTGGAGCAGGAACACTAGAAAACACAATACACTAATCAGATAAGAAACACGTTATCTATAACTTGCCTGGACATGCCTGAAGGAGTTTGTTTCGGAGACAGAGGAAAAGTGGTTAAAGTCTAACCGTTTCATGACGAGGTTGAGGAGGTACGCCACCGCAGCCTGTGACTCTGCTGAATCCACAACCTCCAGGGTGGTCATCTACAAAAAGCACAGGCATGTTTAATTCTCAGACACAATACATTGGTTCACTAATACTAAAGTTGTTTGGTAATGTCTTGTAATGTAAACATATTAAAAAAAAAAAAAAAAAAGAAGAAGCAGCACTCACCAAAGCAGCAAAGTACTCTGTTTCAGTCTCCTTCCCTCCTTGACCACGGATCACCTCGGTAACAGCTGCCAACACTGCACAGATCTGTGAGACACATCAGGCAATACCCTAAATTATTCAACTTTTGCTCCAAACGCAAAACAGCTATTTGACTACAACCATTACAAATCAGCCTTATGCAGTTATTTATTGATCTACATTCATTGTACCGCCTACCTCTTTGTGAGCAGCTGAGTTGGACTCCCAGTAGCGCTGCACCTTCCTGAAGGTCAGGTTGGAGCAGTCCGACAGGCCGCTGAGGAAGGTGCCAGAGGTCCTTTCTGAAAACGCACCATCTGGCTCCTCTTCCATACAGGCGTCCTTACGGGCGCCCCCGCCGAGCTCCAGCGGACCCGCCTGGAGGTCATTGTGCAGCTTAAGAGCGTCAACCGTCAGATCGCTCTTACCTGTAGGTAAAAGAGGCACAACATTACGTTAAACTGAACTCCCCGTAAGACAATAGAAGCCGTCCTAGAGCACGATGGGGTTGCATTCAGATATCAGAGTCAAGTGACTTTGGGCATAAACAGGAATACATAAGAGACTGGGGTCCGTTAAGGCAACTACAGTGCTGCCTTTAGGTATCTAGACTAATCTTCTTGCAGGTGTTATTTTTATATCCATGCTGGCTGAACAATGCAGGATTTAAATGCCTTTTTTTATATTAAGCCCCCATATTCTAAAACAATGCAGATGAACTATGATAGACCTGACGTTGATAGATATTTTCTGAGTATGTGTTTCTTTTGCTGAGGACCAGAGGGAAGGCAATGACCTCACATAACAAGGATGAATTGAGGCTTGGTGCGACACAGACCTGGCAGAGCATCACCAGGAAGGGTACCAAGTATCTGATGATGTCTATGGATTACATTCTTACAGCTGTCATTAACTGCAATGGATCTGCAACTAAATACAAAATATATGTTGCTATAATTGTCCAATTATTATTATATATCTATATACTTATAGTTAACTTTTGATCACCTGAAATTAAGGGGAGTCTATGTGGCGTTATTAGTTTCCTGCACTCTTCACCCATGTCGTGGAGTGCAACAGCTCAAATTACAGCTTAAAGTCAAAATCAGATTTAAAATCATACATTTAAAAGCCAATATGCTGGAGTACACGACGCCAACACACAATCAAATGCCAAATACTTCCACATTCATTATAACACTTATTTGCCTTTAATACTGTCAATAATTCATAAGTGCTGAGCTCGTTTCAGGGTATCAGTCATTAATAAACTTAAATTATCTTAATTTGGTTGGAACGACACGTGTGTCTTTTTGCTCCACACAACCACCAAACACACAGTTGTGTCACCCATGTTAAACTAGAAGACTGAACCACCTAAAAGTCATTTTCTGTGACCAGAGAGAAAATAGAGAGATAGAGAGTCAGAGTCCCTGCTCGACAACTTTATTTGGGGTTGCTGGGTGAGTGAACATGGTTGCGGCGCAACACTAAATGAGCTGCGCAGGTTAAAATGGGGGGGGGCTTTGTCTCTGGCTACCATTAGCACAGCCGGAGACCCACGTGGGTGGAGCTTTACCGGTGGGTCGGCTGAAGAAGGCTTTTAGCAGCCTGGCCGGAAACGGACTCTTCTGCGGTCGAGTCGTCTATTACTGTGTCCTTCTTCCACTCGTCCACTCTCGCGCGCACACGCGTTTCCCGACCCCCCCCCCCTTCCTCCCCCACCGACCACCACCCCGATTGACCATTTATTCCGGGGTTGAAAGTAAACACGACCCGACTGTCCTGCGCGGCTCCATCCATGACTCTGTCGCTCTCCAATGACGTCACGGGACGTGCTCACATTGTCTCCGACCGCTTCTGTATGTTAGGTGACAGCATGGTGGCGCTGTGAAGCGTTTGCAATGTAAAGTTTGTTGCAGAGTACAGTTTATCTTTATGATTATATTGGATAGCCGACATTGACTATAGCGAAGGCAGTCGAGTACTGAGGAGAATGCCTTAGGAGCTCGTGTTTTCTTAGGATGACGTGTTTTACCGACAATCGGATCTCTCTCTCAGTTAGCGTGT